GGGGTTTCACCATGTTGACCAGGATGGTCTTGATCTCTTGACCTCGTGATCCACCCGCCTCGGCCTCCCAAAGTGCTGGGATTACAGGCTTGAGCCACCGCGCCCGGCCTGACTGGTATTTCTTAACCCTTGTTCATCATCAGAAATGTAGTATGGTAGCATTTTCAAAATAACCACAGTCAGAACTCAGGGCAGTAAAGAAGAACAGGAATATGTATATTTTTAAGTTGCCTAGGAGATTCTAATGATCAGTCAGCCAGTCATAGGAATCACTGATTTTTAGATAGATCTTAAAGGATGTAGACAGAAAAAAAAAAAAAAAATCACACAATGGCAATACCACGGCTGGAAACCACTTAGTGGCTGGGCGCAGTGGCTCACGCCTGTAATTCCAACACTTTGGGAAGCTGAGGTTGGTGGATCACCTGAGGTCAGGAGTTCAAGACCAGACTGTCCAACTTGAAAACCCATCTCTACTAAAAATACAAACATTAGCCGGGCATGGTGGCACATGCCTGTAATTCCAGTTGCTCAGGAGGCTGAGGAGAATTACTTAAACCTGGGAGGCCAGAGAACCGAGATCGAACCATTGCACTCCAGCCTGGGCAACAAGAGTGAAACTCCATCTCAAAAAAAAAAACAAACAAACAAAAAAAAGAATTCCTGCCCTCATGGAACTTTTAGTGTAGTGGGAGAGACAAACATTAGTGACTAATGCTAATCCAGTAATTCCTCATATTAATAGAGAAGCATAACGGGTAAGTGCTATAAAAGAGAAATGCATGGTACTGTGATCTGATATAAACAGAAAGCTCCTCTCTCCATGGAACAAAGCAAACAAGAATTTTCTAAGACTGTGGCCATGATGTAGACATATTTGTATGTTTTGGGGAATAAGTGGTGTTCAGGAAAGAGGTAACATTTAAACAAATCACTTTCTCTATTCCCCCGTCTTCCTGAATTCACTAATATTTTTCCTTGGAATGTTATGGCATTAATTCTAGATACTGATACTTTTTTTTTTTTTTTTTAATATGGGGTTTCACCATGATGGCCAGGCTGGTCTTGAACACCTGACCTAAGGTGATCCACCCACCTTGGCCTCCCAAAGTGCTAGGATTACAGGTGTGAGCCACTATGCCCGGCCTAGATGCTGATTATTTTACATGTAAGCAAATTAAACCATTGCCAGGCAGTCAAATATTGTAATTTGATTTTACCTTGTGAAGGTATCCTAAATTTATCTTCTTTTTTTTTTTTTTTTTTTTTAAGATGGAATCTCACTCTGTCACCTGGGCTGGAGTGCAGTGGCATGATCTCAGCTCATAGCAACCTCCACTTCCTGGGTTCAAGTGATTCTACTGCCTCAGCCTCCCAAGTGGCTGGAACTACAGGTGCGTGCCGCTATGCCCGGCTAATTTTTGTACTTTTAGTAGAGATGAGGTTTCACCATGTTGGCCAGGCTCATACTGAGCTCCTGACCTTAAGTGATCTAGCCGCCTCTGCCTCCCAAAGTGCTGGGATTACAGGTGTGAGTCACTGTACCCAGCCTTGAAATCTTTATTCTTATTGTCAGTTTCATAATGTAGTCTCTGCCATCTCTCTCTTGGGCTATCATTCTAGCCAGTTTCCCTTCCTTGGCTCTGCCCTCTGCAGCCCCTCCTGCCAGCAAAATTATTCTTCCAAAACACAGATCTAATCACATCATCTACCCAGCTACCCTGCTTCAAATGTTCCCTTTCCATTATTCACCATGAGAAAGCCTAAATTCCTCAAGCAGGCGGATGCCTTCCAGCCTGATCCCAATGCATCACTTTGTCTGTTTCCTGTCACTGACACCCTGGAACTACCTACTTCAACCACAAATAACCGACCAGTGGTCTCTGACTACATCATACTCTTATGCCACTGAGCCATGTTAAATGCTATTTCTTTTATCCAGAATACCTTTCCCAGACTGTGGTAAAATCTCACTTACTCTTTAAGTCTCGGTTCCAAAGTTACCTTTTCTGTGAAAAATTTCCCAACCTTACTGATGTAAAAGTCGCCCTCTTTGTCCTCTCATAATGTTTTGTTCACACCTCCTTACCACATGCTATCTAGCAGAGTGGCACAGAAGGGGGAGAAGGAAGGAGCTCCCTGTTTTCTCACCTGCACAGTGACTGCCACACTCAATGGAGGCTCCTTCTTCTCAGGGGCTGCTGAACAGTCTGTTGGGCTAAATCAAACTTTGTCACCACAGTAACAGTGGACTTCTGTTTTCTTTATTCTTTTTATTTTATTTATTTATTTTTTTAAAGACAGGATCGCACTCTTGCCCAGGCTGGAGTGCAGTGCAGTGGCATGATCTCAGTTCACTGCAGCCTCGACCTTCTGGGCTCAAACAATCCTCCCACCTCAGCCTCCCAGGTAGCTGGGAATACAGGTGCATGCTACCACACCTGGTTAATTTGTTTTAAAATTTTTTGTAGAGACAGGAATCTCGCTGTATTGCCCAGGGTGGTCTTGAGCTCTTGGGTTCACGTAATCCTTCGAGGCACCTTGGCCTCCCAAAGTGCTGGGATTACAGGGATGAGCCACAGCATCCAGCCTGTTCTCTTTACTCTTTTAAAAGTTAAAATCAAGTTAGAATTTAGTGGAGAAGAGAAAATCTTTTCAACTAATGGTGTTACAAAAGCTAGATATCCACATAAAACAAACAAACAAACAAAAAAAAAAAACAGAGAAATGAGGCTGGGCACGGTGGCTCATGCCTGTAATCCCAGCACTTTGGGAGGCTGAGGCAGGTGGATCATGAGGTCAGGAGATTGAGACCATCCTGACTAACACAGTGAAACCCTGTCTGTACTAAAAATACAAAAAATTACCCGGGCATGGTGACACGTGCTTGTAGTCCCAGCTACCTGGGAGACTCAGGCAGGAGAATCACTTGAACCCGGGAGGCAGAGGTTGCAGTGAGCCAAGATGGCACCACTGCACTCTAGCCTGGTGTCTCAAGAAAAAAAAAAAGAGAGAGAGAGAGAGAAATGAATCTGGATACTGACATTACAGTTTTCATAAAAATTAACTCGGCCAGGCACAGTGCTTCACATCTGTTATCTCAGCACTTTGAGAAGCTGAGGCGGGCGGATCACCTGAGATCAGGAAATCGAGACCAGCCTGGCCAACATGGTGAAATTCTGCCTCTACTAAAAATACAAAACTTAGCTGGGCGTGGTGGTGGATGCCTCTAATCCCAGCTACTTGGGAGGCTGACACAGGAGAATCACTTGAGCCCAGGAAGCGGAGGTTGCAGTGAGCTGAGATTGTACCACTGCACTCTAGCCTAGGTGACAGAGTGAGACTCATTCTCAAAAAGAAAAAAAAAAAAGTCAACCAAAGATATAAACAGACACTTCCCCGAAGAAGATACACAGATTGTAAATAAGCACAAGAAAGATACTCAACATCATATGACATCAGGAGATTACAAATTAAAACAATGAGATAGGCCGGGCGCGGTGGCTCAAGCCTGTAATCCCAGCACTTTGGGAGGCCGAGGCGGGTGGATCACCAGGTCAAGAGATCGAGACCATCCTGGTCAACATGGTGAAACTCCGTCTCTACTAAAAATACAAAAAATTAGCTAGGCATGGTGGTGCATGCCTGTAATCCCAGCTACTCAGGAGGCTGAGGCAGGAGAATTGCCTGAACCCAGG